CCATGGAGGAGGACTCACTTCCGGGTCTGCTTCCAGCCCTTACACCTAACCGCCAGGCTGTTTGTAATGCAAGTTTCCAGCCAGATGATTTTGGACTGTGTTTTCCACATTTGTTCAATCACATTCCCAGTTTCTGCCATCTCTACGTCACCTGTACAGCTATTTATTTCAGCGGTCCCCAACCTTTTTGGCACCAGGGATTGGTTTCATGGAAGACAATTTGTCCATGGACTGGGGGTGGGGAGATGGTTTTGGGATGATTCAAGCACATTACATTTATTGGGCACTTTATTTCTATTATTATTACATTGTCACTTGCTACTCACTGATAGGGTTTGGCTATGAGTCTGCAAGCAATTGATTTATTCTGGTCTCTGTACAGTCCAACCTCTCTGCTAATGATGATCTGTATTTGCAGCCGCTCCCAGTGCCAGCATCACCGCCTCAGCTCCACCTCAGATCATCGGGCATTGGATTCTCATAAGGAGCGGGCAACCTAGATCCCTCACATGCGCAGTTTACAGTGGGGTTCACGCTCCTATGAGAATCTAATGCTGCTGCTGATCTGACAGGAGGCGGAGCTCAGGTGGTGATGCGAGCGATGGGGAGCGGCTGTAAATACAGACGAAGCTTCACTTGCCCACCGCTCACCTCCTGCTATGTGGCCCGGTTCCTAACAGGCCACAAACTGGTACTAGTCTGCAGCCTGGGGGTTGGGGAGCACAGATTTATTTAACGTCGACTTAGTTTTGAACTGTAATTTCATATCACCAACTTAAATGGAAAATGAGTATTATTTGTCATAAAAGAAAAAAGTTATCTGCAAAAAATAAATGCAATGGAATATAAACAATGCTATTGAACTCTGGCTAGATTCAGAGGACCAGCCAGGCTCTGAGCCGCTCTGTCTCTGTCGAAAGGGGAGATTGCAAACATAGAACGGTGTTGAAGACACGCCAGCTCCACGCTGGGACTTTCTCCTTGGCCTAATCAGGAGAATCACTAAATGATTCAAGGTTATTGACCACCCGGTTTACCTCCCTGCCTTGTAGAATGCTTCCTGGCTCTAACACGCAGCCATAAGATACGGGACACAAGTTGACATAGTGGAGAAAAAATATCTTTTCCTTCTCCCCTCCTGAGTTCTTGGTCGGGGCCCCTGTAACAAAAGAGAGATGAGCAAGAGAAAAGCATACAAATTTATTTCGTGTAAGTTTTACATGACATGGGAGCCTTCATATGAAGCAGTTCAACCTGAGTGTTTCTACGCTGGGGGTGAGGGAGAGTGGAGCGTCGGGAGACCCGTGCCAGGACAAAGGGGTAGGAGCCAAGTGCAGCGAACGGGGAACAGGCAGCACCCGATCACTCACGCTCCTCTCCATGCCCTGTGTCTCGGAGATAAGGCAGCTGCTTTCCTCTGGGGTAGGCAGGGCGCCTCTCACGTGAGGTCACATGACCTGCTGCAGGGGAAGGTCAGAGAGTCCTTCCTGCACCTGCTGTTCTCCGCTGCCCTATTTGGGGGCAGCATGCCCTGAGCCCTGTCATATGCTACAAGCTTGGGGATCCCTACGAGGCAAACATGGCCCCTGAGATAGTGACACTGTGCATTCTGTGGAGGCCACAGCTTCAAAGGCCCTAAGACCTGGGTTCCTGGGAAATCAGCACAGACTCTCTGAGCCTACAGTGGAATGTACTCCTGATAGCACCCAGATCCAGTGTTTGCATGATCAAAGGAGGGGGAATGTTTTTACAGTAAGTCTTCTCGGACAGAATTCTGAAGGGGAAAGGGCACAAGTGAATCAGAATGTTGGCTGTTCCCTCTAAAGCATCTGTTTAAAAACCAAGGGGGAAAGCCCAGCGGCGGAGTCATCTCCTGCCCCTCCCACACCACGCCAGGTGCAAGGATCAGATTCTGCCAGGGGCCCGGGTCCACCCTGCCTGGCTCTGCAGATGGAAACCCAGGCCCAGAGAGACAAGGAGCCCACAGGGGGGCCCTCTCGGAGCACCTCCCCCTGCCAGAGCGCCCTGCCCCACCGCCTCTCCCCATAGTGCCTTAAACAGTCCCTGACATCTGATTTTATAATCCCGGGATGTGTCAGTCAGGGTCCCAGTAGGAAAGGGAGGGCACCTTTGAACTGGGTAATAGAGGGTCTATTTACAGTGGTGTAGACAGCACTGGGGACACTATAAGGAGCAGGCAAGACCTCAGGGTGCCTCAGGACCGGCACAGCAAAGCCTCGGCCTCCTGCAGCCTCCCGCCCTGATGGGAGCAGTGAAGTCTGGTCAGCCCCCAGGGAGGAGCCAGTGCTCCATCCCCACTCCCCTCCCAGGCTCCTGCTGGTGCCCAGCAGCCAAACACAAGGGGAAGGCAGGTGGCAAAGGGCCCAGAGTGCGGTCCTGGTCCTCCGGGGGCAGTGGGCAGCCAGGGGCCCCAGCCCAGGGCACACCTCCAAAGCAAAGGGGGAGGAACAAGGACGGTGACTTCAGGCTCCCAAATTCTCCCAGGTCCCTAAACCGCCTGCTCTCTGGACATCCTGAGAAAGCCAGAGGGAAAAGCCCTCAGCTTTGTTTTGAAAATGAGAGCAATGTTTGCAGCCATTAGCAAGCAATTAGGATCTGGCTGGGCTGATGTGGCCAGATCTGGGGGCACCCAGCCAGGTAGACCCATCACAGCCCCGTGTAACAGAGGTCAGTGAGGGAACGCTGGGCACCACCTCCAGGGAACCAGACTGGGAGGACCCGAGTTCTCTGAGCCCCGATGTGGGCTGAGGTCCCTGGGCTGTGGGATTCAGCTGGAGAGAGAGCCCCACGGGGCAGGGGGTCTGTCTTCACTCTTTCCTCTGAATCACCAGCATGTGATACACGCTCAATAATCTTCAAAATGTTTTTTTAAATGACTGATTCAAACACATGACTTCTGACCCCCAGCTGAATTTTCTTCCCATGAGCGAAGGAGGGCCCCTCAGAAAGGCAAGCTGCTAGAGCTGTCTTCCCGTGCTCCAGCTCCCCTTCTGGAAGGATCAGAAAAACGCCGCTGCTCATCGCATCTCTTGCAAGTCCCAGACCCTGAACTCAGCTCTGCTTAGGGGTTCATGAGTTGGTTCTCTATCTTCCACTTCACTTCCTGTCTGCTGATTCAGCACTTTTAAAAAATGTGTTCAAATTCCCTGAACCCGTCCTCTGCCTGGTCTCCACCTCCCACAACTGAATCAGGAGAGCAGCGCTCCGGCAGCCCAGGCGGCCTCTGTTCATGGCGACTTCTCTGGTTGAGAAGTGGCTGAAAGGTAACGTAGGGCAGATCTATGGCCACACCCACACACATGCACACACACGTAGCACACGCACCCACACACATGCACACAGACGCCCAGATGCATGGACCACAGCTTTTCACACCCTTCCTAGACAGGAATACAAGGTCGCTTGGGATCCGTGAGAGAGAGTGAAGTTTGGAGCAGGAAGCCGTTCCAGAGCTGAGGTTCTAGTCCCGCCTCCAGGTCTTCCCAGCCGTAGATTTACACAAGTCACCCCACCTGTGTGCACCTCATTTCCCCCTCTGCAAGGCAGGCATACAGCCGATGCCGCCCTCCCAGGGTGGGAGTGAAGTGAAAGGGGAAGAGGGAGACAGGCATGGTCAATGGAAGCCCACGGTGCAGAAAGGCTTACACCTTCCCACCCGGCTCGGCAAGGCCCCGGGCTCAGAACCTGAGAGCACCCTGTATGGTAACCACCCGAGGGACTGCACGTACTCATCTGTGTCTGTCTCCCTTGTTAGGCTCGAAGCCACTCGAGACCTCGTGTCCAATTCTCCTCCATCACAGACCCCTCCCCGAGCTCCAGGCCCACGCTGGACCCCACGGCCTCTCCCATCCCCACCTGGAAGTCTCAAAAGAACCTCACCTTTCACAGGTTCCAGTTGAAACACATGCTCTTCCTCCTCCAAATCAGCCCTTCCTTCTTCCCCTCTGCAGGAGACGGCAGCCGCTGGGGGCAACTTTTACGCTTCCTCACCCTCATTGCCATCCCCTCTGTGTGCAGTCTGGCACCAAGCATGTCAGTTTTACTCTCCAAACTCTTGGGATCCAGTCTCTCTGTTTCCATCATCCCGGGTCCAGACTAAAGGGCAGCCTTGCTAGCAGGTCTCCCTGCTTACACCCTGCCCCTCCACCATCCTGCCTCCGCAGCAGCTGCCAGGACCTAACACACATTCACACCCAGCTTCTTCCTGCCTCAGGGCCTTTGCACTTGCTCCTTCTGCCCAGACATCCTCTCTCCCCACCATCCTCTCACCCTCTTTATTCCTGTGCATCCTCGGGTTTCATCAGCAATGTCTACTCACCCTCCCAGGCTGGCCCAGGACCCCACGTTCTATGCTGTCACAGAACCTTTCATTTGATTTCATTGCACTTACATCAGTTTGCCATTATTTAATGACTGAGTGATGTCTGCCACCTCCGCCCCACTGTGTCCCTAGCACCCGGTATGCGGTCAGTACTTCACAGACCTGTGTTACCTGAAGGACTCGGCAAGTCCCACTGCCCTTCCCTGGTGGAGATACTGTGTTTTATGGTCCCCCCCTGTAAGGTTTTCGGTGGCAGAGAGACCAGCGGACAGAAGTTATGGCCAAACAAGTGGCTTTATTAAAGCTCTCCTGGGCGAGGTTCACAGGTCCTAGGGTCAGGGCCTGAGAAGTCGCGCTGCCCGGGACTGAGGCAGGGTTTTTATATATGGGGTGAAAAAGGGGGTCTTGGAACATTCCGATAGGATGTGGTCATTCGAAGCCTGAGCACTTTGCCTGCAGCAGCTGAGTAGAGCAGGAAACCGAGCTCAGGGTGCTCAGCCGGCGTAGCTGTTCTTGCCAGTCATAACAGGATGTGGCCTGGCCCCGGCTGCAAGCCAGCAGGGAAAGGGCCCGGGGCTGTCGTTGCTGTGCCCGTGGGGGTCTTTTGGCCAGCCTTACACCCCCAATCTAACCATCTTCTCTCCTCTGTTTAGCCCAGGCGGGGCCTCGCTCACCTCCCACTCTGAGTTCAAATGTACTCCACTTGGAACATACCCATGTTCGTGTCCGTCCGTGACGGCTCTGTGCCCACCATGGCCTCTTTCAGGTGAGTCAAAGGGATTTCTCATCTGCTATTTAGGGGAGCGGAACAGACAACCTGGGGAACTCCCAGGACAGCTCGATCCTCACATCCTGGACAGCAGTTGAAGGAACAACTATCCCATCGCCCCCTCCTTGAAGTCCTCAGGGGCAAAGCCTCACCTCTGAGCGCCCGGGGAGGACCACTCTTATTCCCTTACTCAGCCTCACTCCTGTCCACCACCTACAGCCACCTTCCAGAACACACCAGCAGCTTCCCACTTCCGTGCCCCTGCTCAAGCTGTCACCCCACCTGGTCTGCCCTTCCTCCCTCTCGTCCCCTGTTGAAATGCTCCTCCTCCTTCAAGACCCAGCTCCAGAGTCGCCTCCCCACCTCCCCTACCCCAATTCTTCCCCCCACAGCCTCCGCAGCACTCCTCACACACTGGGCCACCGCTGTCAGGAGCTCAGGCAGGGCAGGGGACAGGCGGCACCCCTCTCTGTGTCGCTGCGCCTGGGGTGGAGCTCCACACAGAGCAGATGCCGAAGGAGCGTCGAAGAGACGGAGCATGGCTGGATGGGTGAATCACAAGCCCGGTCTGGCTCCAGGATGCCAGCCAGCTGCTCCGGGAAGCAGAGGGGCTTTTCCTGGGAAACCCCAGACAGTCAGCAGCATCTCTCCCATGACGGTGGCTCAGCTCCTCGCCACGGACTGCCCAATGCGGCCTCCCCACGAGAGCCCTTCACCTTCCCACTCACACCGCCAGCACCAGGAAAACGCCCAGCCAGTCCTGCCCGCTGGGCTGCGCTTTAAGCTTTTCAATGTGTCTTCACATCCACTCTGTGATTTGAACTTTGCAACAGCCATGCAAGGTCAGTCAAGAAGACAGTAATACACTACTCCAAAAACAAAAAAAAAGCAAAATGAAAGCTCAGAGAGGTCAAGCAATTTGACCAAGACCACACAGCTAGGACTGGAACCCACGTCTGGCCAAACCCTATGCCACTTTGCTAAAGGTAGAGATGAATTAGCCTTAACAGCAACACTTCTGTCCCTTGGCCTGTGAGTTTTGCCTAAGAGTAAAAGAGAAGCTAGTGGGTTAATGATAAGGCCAGTGACACAGGCAAGAACCTGCCAACTGTGTGCGGGGGTTTGACACTGGTTGCTTTAACAGGTTCACAAAAATAGACAATTGCTAATGTTTATTGAGCCATGTGCAGTGCTTAGAGCTTTTTGCACATTGTCTCAATACCCACCACAACTCTGAGAAGTAGACTTTGTTAGTCCCATTTTACAGGTTAGGTCATTGAGGTTCAGAGAAGTTAAGTAACTTCCCCTAGGTCACACAGCTAATAAATAAGGGAGCCAGAAGGACTGTCTGGCTCCAACGCCCCCGCCCCTTCTCCACCATGCAACCTCTGATCATCTCCAACACCTCCCGGACAAAGGGTATAGACGTGTGATTCTGTTGCCTTCACCAGAACAGGCAGACTGCCCGGGCAGACAGGGAGTGGGAAGGTGGGCTGTGATCTCAGAGCCAGGCTAGAATCTCTGCATCTGGAACGATATCATCTTTCTCTTCTAATAAATTACTCATTTACGACAAGCTTTGAGAGGCTGAAAGATAACCAGCTCCGTTGCGAGGGGCCCGGGCGGTAAGGAAGGAATGTGCGGTGTATCTTCCCATCACGGAAGCTTCAGGGAGGTCCAGGGTCCGAGACTCGTGACCATTAGTGCTGTTGATGGACACTGGCCAAGGAACTATCCCAGTGGAGCTTCAAGATGAAGAACGTGAGGTCTCAGTTGAGTCCCAAGGAGCAGAACGTGAGGTCTCAGTTGAGTCCCAAGGAGCAGAACGTGAGGTCTCAGTTGAGTCCCAAGGAGCAGAGGAGGCTCTCTAAGACCCGGGAAAGTCAGGTGTACAGGGATGCGGAACACAGCCTGAGTTGCACCCCGACTTTGCCATGTCCTGGCTGCCTTCGGGATGCTGTCTGCTGAACAGATGAGCCATCTTACCCCCCATCGCCTTCCTTTTGTGACCTTGAGGTGTAACAGCCTCTTTTCCGCTTTTTTTCAGTGCTGACATGCTCAACCTCACCTCGCAAGTGCCTGCTCTCAACGAGGACCTTTCCCAGGGCAACAGCTGCCACCAGCTGCACGAGTGGCTCAGCTGGCTCAACGCCATCCAGGCCCCTTTCCTCTGGGTCGTGTTCGTGCTGGCTGCCCTGGAGAACGTCTTTGTCCTCAGCGTCTTCTGCCTGCACAAGAGCAGCTGCTCGGTGGCGGAGATCTACCTGGGGAACCTGGCGGCGGCAGACCTGATCTTGGCCTGTGGGCTGCCCTTCTGGGCCGTCACCGTCGCCAACAACTTCGACTGGCTCTTTGGGGAGGCGCTGTGCCGCGTGGTGAACACCGTGATCTACATGAATCTGTACAGCAGCATCTGCTTCCTGATGCTGGTGAGCATCGACCGCTACCTGGCCCTGGTGAAAACCATGTCCATGGGCCGGATGCGCGGGGTGCGCTGGGCCAAACTCTACAGCCTGGTAATCTGGGGGTGCACGTTGCTCCTGAGCTCGCCCATGCTGGTGTTCCGGACCATGAGGGATTACAGAGACGAGGGCTACAACGTCACCGCCTGCGTCATCAGCTACCCGTCCCGCACCTGGGTGGTGTTCACCAACGTCCTGCTGAACTCCGTGGGCTTCCTGCTGCCTCTGAGCGTCATCACCTTCTGCACCGTGCAGATCATGCAGGTGCTGCGGAACAACGAGATGCAGAAGTTCAAGGAGATCCAGACGGAGAGGAAGGCCATGGCGCTGGTGCTGGCCGTGCTGCTGCTGTTCGTGGTCTGCTGGCTGCCGTTCCAGATCAGCACCTTCCTGGACACGCTGCAGCGCCTCGGCGTCTTCTCCAGCTGCTGGGACGAGCACGTCATCGACATCCTCACACAGGTCAGCTCCTACGTGGCCTACAGCAACAGCTGCCTCAACCCGCTGGTGTACGTGATCGTGGGCAAGCGCTTCCGGAAGAAATCTCGGGAGGTGTACTGCGGAGTGTGCCGGAAGTGGGGCTGCAGGCCAGAACCCACCCAGACAGAGAACTCCATGGGCACGCTGCGCACCTCCATCTCGGTGGAACGCCAGATCCACAAACTGCAGGACGGGGCGGGGAGCAGGCCGTGAGCCGACGCCACCAGGGCTACTGTTCATTTGTGTGAGGACTGACGGACAGAGGCTGTTCAGCGTGGGCCGGGAAGGCAGAGGAAGCATCCCACGCATGACCTTGGGCAATGAGTTGGTGTCTCCAGAAAATATAGGAGAAGAGTAATTCCTGTCCTGCCCAATGGCAGGAAGCAGGGCTGTGAGGATGGGGTGGCCTCGTGTACAAACACGACAGTATCATGATTCCCATTTGCTGCCACCCTGGACCCAGCCTGCGTCTCCCCAGGAGTGGAGGGGGCCTGGGGGCCTGGGGCAGGGATAGGAGTGTCTGAGCTTCCCTCCCTGCCCCAGCAAGACTGCTCGGACCCCCAGGAGAACTGCTGCCCCAGCTTCCAGGCAGTGACCGGGTGCACACACGAGACCTGGCTGAGTCACTGCCCTGGGTCTCTTTAATCCACTCAGCTCAGACTTTGGATTAATGAAGGTTAAACTCTGAAGACTCCTGGTAAGAACCCAGAGACAGGGTTCTGTGGGTCTCCTCACCAGTGGACAAGGTGGTCTGTGCAAGCGAAGAACCCGATAAGCACTTACAGAGCACTTTCTGTATACGCAGCATTGAACGCCTCAAGCAGAGGGAAGAAAGAGAAGACAGTCCCTGCCTTCAAGGAACTAGAAAACCAGTGTGGGGATGACCGGGCTCTGGAGCCACCAGCAGCCTGTTCTACCATGTGTCACGCAAGGCACTGTGGGAGGTACAGAGAGCAAGGGGGGCAAGGAGCCCAAGGTCCCAGCCCAGCCGATAACTACTTGCACAGTCACCTCGTCCCTGCCTCAGTTTCCCCTTCTGTAACATGAGGTGGTCGTGAGGATTAAAGGAAGCTATAAGCATAAAAGTACTTTGAAAATGGAAAGGTGCTATGTAAATGTGAGGCATTATTATGCACACGAAACTGGGATAAATGTATTATGAGGAAGAGACACTGAGGTTTAGAAATAGCTCTGCAGAGGAGAATCAGGGCAGGACGCCAGGGGTGGTGGGAAGCTTCCATCCGCAACGCCCGGGATGTGGCCTGGTGCGGGTCCCTGGCTTGTTAGGAGACAGGCGCCCATCACTGCCTGAGCTCGGCGGTACCTTCCCCCGACCCACGACACCCCACCCCACCCCAGTCCATGGAAAAATTGTCTTCCATGAAACCGGTCCCTGGTGCCAAAAAGCTTGGGGACCGCTGGACTGTAAAGCACCTGTCTGTGTTTGGCACATAGTAGGTGTTTACTCCATAGCCCCCTTCCACCTTCCCTCCCCAGCACCCTGAGCCCCTGCCCACATGCACACGCAGGCACTGGGGAGAAGCCCCCTCTTCAACGCGTGCTTTGTGATGAGGCGGGGGGATTTCCGCCCACACTGTCGGGATTGTTCCTGTCTCAGCGGTCAAGGGCGCCAGTCAATGGTTTACTGGCGGGTGGCCCGGTGTGACCCCAAGAAGAGCTTCAGTAGGAAGCAGAGGGGGCTACCTAAAAGCAGCAGGCCAACGACCGGGCACGCAGCTCCCAGGACCAACCTGCGCCACGCGGCAGACTCAGCGCCTCGGCAGGCCCAGGGAGGCCAGTGTCCGGCTGGGAAGTCTGGCCACAGGCCCACGTGACCTTCTGGAAGGCCTCTGGGGACAAGGCCCCCACACGATGAGCACGTCTAGGGCTAAACAGAGACACCCAAGCAGCTGCCCAGCCGTCAATTCCCCACCCCGGGATGGGCGGCTCTGCCCCGGGCCGAGTGTCGGGCTGGACCAGCGTGCTTGGCCCTGCCCCAAGCCCCAGCTCCTCCCTGGGGAATGTCTTCCTTTTTCTACTCGCCTCAATAAACTGCCTCCTGTGGCCAGCGCTGTGCCGAGCCCCGCGGGGCGGTGCAGAGGAAAGTACCACCCAAGCCGCTTAGAACCAAGGCCACTCAGTGGCATCCCACGTGGCAGCGCCCACTCGGTAAATGGGCATTTATTAGCTGCCTGGCTCTCTCTGGAGAGGCTGCACCCTGGAGGGCGAGGAGGATTTGGATGGCAAAGAGCCCACACATCCTGACCCATCCAACTCTGAATTTTAAAACAAAAAGAGTCAAAAAAGGATTCCCTCCCCAGCGTACCTTTTTTTCCCCGCACCAGCCACATCCCTCCGCCCCAATACGTACACACGTGCAGCTAGAGAAAGAAAACAAAACGTTTAGCACCAGAATGAAGCCAAGCCATGCCCACATCGTGAATGTGGCAGTCCTTCAAGGGCGGAGCCGGATGGTGGGAGGGTCTCCCAGGAGCAGAGCTACCCCCTGGTGGTCACGCGGGGGTCCGCGAGTGGTCTCGGGTACCACTGAGTCTGCAGGAGGGGAGCCCTGTGTTGCGCTGATGGTGTGACAAAGGGAGTGGTCCTGTGACAGACCCAAAGAGCTGTTACATTACAAAGAGGGAGCGTTTTGCATACAAATGAGAAAATGGATGAACCATGAAAACGTGTCTTTTCTGCCCCAGATAATAAATGGATGAGGAGTTTTTGCATGGCTCTGTCATTTGTCACAACTCCCCACACCCCTGAGTTTTGTCTCTGGGACATTTCCTTGGGCATTCAGAAGCCTTGGGGGGATTCCGTTTCTTTCTGTTCAACCTGACCAGTGGTCTCCAAGCTTTTGTGGTTGTGTGTCCCTGTAGGGAAACAATGTTGATTATGCATACGCAATGTGTATATTGATTAGCATCTATGAAATGCACATCCTCGAATATCCTCAACAAGTAGGAATTTAAGACAGATTACATAAGAAATGACTATTTCCCCTATCCTACATTCCTACATGAGTAACTCTCTACCAAGCTCCTGTCAGGTGCCGGTGAGACCCTATACGGCCCTAGAATTATAGGGGTAGCAGTGATTCCATCTTTCATTCATGCAATATGTGTTTATTGAGTGCCTACCATTTGACTTTCCCTCCGAATTAGGAATATCCTCTACAATATCCAGATTAAAAGCCACTGCTTGCATACTCCCAGTGATGGGGAACTCATTACCCATTCCATTTGGGACTCCTTCATTATTCATGTATTCATTCACTCATTCATTGAAAAAAACTTGCATTCTCCGTCTCCATAAATGGCCCTCCTCCATCCATCCATCCATCCATCCATGGTAGAAACCTGGGGCTCCTCGTTCCATGTGTCCTCTCCTTCATCCCTCCCACCTAGTGGGTCGGCACCTCGTTTAGAGTCCACTCACTCTGTTTCCTGGATCTGTCCTTTCTAAGAGATGACCAACCATCATCTCTTACTGGTCCTCCCGCCTCCAATATTAACCACCAGCGTCTTCCAATGCTGATTCTCCACGCGGCAGCCAATGTGATCTTGTAAGAACACAAACACACCCTAGGGAGGCCATAGACACAGAGAACAGTGCTCAGGAGCCATGGTTTCAGGATCAGGCAGACCTGGATCCCACCTGGGGTTCTGCCTTGGGCCTTTATTTGCAGTGTGGTCTTGGGTGTCTCAGTTATCCTTCCTAAGTCTGTGTATCCTCCCCTCTAAAATGGGGATAGTAATGGTATCTGCCTCACAGAACTGTTAACAAGATTAATGTATGAAAGTGTTGAGCACAGCGCCTGATACATAGTTGGCACCAAACATGTTATCTGTGATGATGATGATGATGATGATGATGGCTGTTAAGATGAAGGCATTCTCCAAAGAAAACCCCTTCAGTAGGGTCTTGGATATAATAGGTGGATATAATTCAATAGTGTCCCAACTCTCTGAGGATAAAGTTCCACAGCTACAACGTGGTTTTCAAGACCCTTCTGGCCCCTGCCTTGTCTCTCTATCTCCTTCTTCCTACTCCCAGCTCATTCTCTACACTCCAGCATATTGGGCATAGGTGCTGACAGAGCCGAGAAAACGGTCCCTTCTCCTCCAGCGCCCACCTTCCCGCCCAGCCTGCACCCCTCACAGAGCACCCTGAGCGTGGATCTCTAGTGCCCACAAGTGTCCGCAGATCTCACTCCTCCAGAGGGTTTGTTCACAGATGTTTCCATAACTCAGGAAAGTCTGTGATCCAGACAGAAACCACATGCCTGGAAACCCGAGCAGGGCCCTCAGCAGACAGAAACGGGCTGGGGGATCCTCCCCTCTCCACCGAGCAAGGCAGCAGGAGCAGCCCCTCCACTCCCGACCCTCCTCGCTCCAGCGAGCTGGCGCCAGGGGAAGAAGCCTCTTGGGCCTCATGGGACCAAGCAAGGGCCCAGCTCCTGAGTCTGCCCTGGCCAGAGCGAGTAAGGGCAGGGTGCAGAGACGCAAACTAAACACCAGGTGACCTGACGGGAGTCCATGCTAGTGATGACGCCACCGTTGACTTAGGAAGCTGATTGAGCGCAGTCATCGTGACTCAGAAGGTGCAGTCTCCGTTTTTCAGAACCCATCGCCTTTGTTACCCAATGTCTGACCCATTGCAAAGCCTCCCGCAGTTTTGATCCTTTGCCCAAACCCCGGGAGGATGTGGGGGTCAGGGATGAGCAACAGAGGTCATGGTTTGGCAATAGCAATGGCTGAAAGTTTAATGGTTTGTTTGTGTGTGGTGTTTTTATGGTTTTATTTTTTGGCTGAGGCAAAATAGCCCTGGGTCAAAGGGGCCCCAGTGAAATGTTTCGTACTGCGCTGAGCACTTGACACACCTCACCCCAACCACTCCGGGCGTTTGCGTGATCACCAGCGCAGGGCGTGGAAATTGAGGCCCCGAGAGGGAAGTAACTTGCTAAGGCCACATACTTCTGAAGGAGGGTGCTCTGGAAGCTTCGCATGCTCTCCCAGTGTTTGTGCTTTATCAAACAGAGGATGCAAACTCTGTCACAGACAAAGCCTCAAGGTGCCTTCTTGCATGAAGAGCTTATGAGCCAGGGCTTGGGCTGTTTCTGCCACAATACACAGACTTTGCCTCTTCTAGGCCTTGTGAGTGCTTGCTTCCTGCCCAATCACCTCCCCAGAGGCTGGTGGATATAATTCACCTGCCATGCAGTTCACCCTTTTCAGCCTTTATTCATTTACGGAGTCATGCAACCATCACTGCTATCTAATTCCAGAACATTTTCATCACCCTCAAAGAAGTCTCATGTTCATTAGCAGTCA